TAATAAATTTGGCAAGCTCAAATATTATACCTTTCTTGTACATCTAGATCTAGAAATGGATGAGTACAGGGAGTTAAAAGCTGAAGTTGAAAATTTTAAGAGAGGATACTGCAGGATTTTCATGGTATACAACTGTCATCGTGAGTAAAGGGGATGTAGGAAGGATGATAGGCAAGACTCCAAGGATTGGTCTCAGGAGCAATTTAAGCTTCAGCTGGTGGTAGGGGTAATGGACATATGTGGCTGCTTCCTTCACCAACTTTCCGTGTTGGGATGTCACTCTTCCCCAGCAGTTATAAAGCTACTATGGTATGTTACATATTATTCTATGTTGGACTACAAGAAGACTCAGGGTCCCATAATGAGCAATCCACTGTTGTGCAAATTCACTTATACAAGCTGTTCCCTACTTGATTACGATTCTAGTAAATTAAATATAACTTTACTATGATGTATTAGGGACTGATCTAGATTCAATTAAATTTCTAAGATTACCAGGACTTTCACTTCGAAAAATCGACCTTCGTATAAAAAAAATGAAACAGATCTGTAACTCTTTATTTATTAGTTTTGTTGTTATTATATATGGTTTATGACTACATTTATATACATATACACACCCGTTATCTCACTAGTCAAACTAGGTCCTATCTTGACCATTCTTTGGTTGTTATTGTGATGAAGCCATACTAAAAAGGTCTTCCATGGATGCTAGAGACACCAATATCTACTCGATGTCTGGCACCCTCACATGCATCAACACAAATGTCTCATCCCTGCCAAATAGTATTTTTGTTGGTGTCTATTGACTTCCCTCTCAAGGCATTCATTAGACCTTGAATTGACACTATGGCCCTCAAGGCAAAAACTGGGTCTCTTTGCATTGTATTATATGTGTTAAGGCACCTTTACCACAATCGAATGGATATTTGTAGTCCTCTGTTGGGCATAAGATTGGTTTTCATGGGTCATCTTTTCGCCTCTTCAGGTAGCATAGCTTTCCCTTCAACCATTTTGTTTTAGAATGTTCAAACTCAAATAGTGGCTTCAAAGAAAATTACATTAGTTGTATTTCCTGTGTTAGTGAATAGTCTTCTTGCCTAATATTTGGCAACTGTAATTATTACCGCTACTGCAATATTATTGGAAACCTTGCCGCCCGTTTAAAGTCAATATCAGAAAACTCTCGAAAAGTCTGTTATCTCTTCTTTTATATCTTTCTGTTGCTTGGTATACTTTTCCTTCCCAGACATATCTCTAACACTCATTTGAAGAGCTTACACTCAAAGATGGCCCAACAGTTCCCTACTACTGTGTGAGATTTGCTCTACTTCTAGGATCAACCTCTAGATCTTGCCTATCATCATTCCTAGATCCCTTTACTCAAGATAGCATCTAAATGTCATGAGAATACTAAGGGATTCACACTCTTTTGAGGCATAAAAGTAGCCATTAACCAAAGTCCTCCTTCTCATCAAATTGTCTTGCATTAAGATCCTTCCCCAAATTGCTTCTTAGTCACTGAGAGCAATTTAAAGGATAGCCATAGATTTACAGTTTGTTTCCAAAGTAAAAAATTCAATATCAGTTCATTTGCATGAAAAAATATGAAGAAGAAATACTTAATTCAGAAGTTGCAATTCTTTTAGACTTTTAAATAACTCAGTCATCCCTGGGGGGGATGGATTGGAGTTTGACCAGAAAGTGGCCAAAAAAGAAATCCATCCACCAGTCTCCTAGTCATCTAACATTCCACTAGATTCCACCATACACCATAAAACAATCCTTGACCAACGCCTTATTGAACTTAGCAACTGAGAAAGTGAAAGGCAAATGCTACCCACATAATAAGTCACATATGTGACCCACCATGATGGGTCATATCCAGGGTTGCTTTTATGACCTATACTTTTAGGCTACATTTGGTTTGCTCAAAGAATAAGGGTGGGATGGAATAGATATTCAGTTAGAATGGAATAAAGTTGTAACTATAATTGTAATTTGCGTTGTTTGATATATGAGTAAGAATCAAAATTATATTGTTTTGTTGGTAGATTTGAGAAAAGGCAGACCAAGTCATAAGTAACTAAAATATCTTTACATGCTTTATTAATTATAGTTATATTTTTAATTATAAAAATTTATATCTCAATATTTATCATTAAAGATATTTTAAATATTAATAAAATATTAGTTTAGTTAGAAATTGTATAACTATATAATAATTTATGAAATATTAAAGAATATTATAAGATAAGACATTTGATTGCAATTTCTTTAACATAGGATAAGACTTTTCTGCAACAAAAAGAGTCTCTTTTAAAATTGGATAACCTGTTGATTACCGGATACTGATTTTCCTGCCATAGCTTGGGGTGCAGGATGGAGCTTCACAAGAGACCGAACCCCAAAAGCACCCTTGCCTAGAGATTGAGTAACCTTTTTCTAGGTCACCACATGTTACTTCATATAGTCTTCCCAGTTCTGCCACAAGAATTGAATTTGAGAGACTCAATCTTCTTGGCTACACTTGTTTGAATAGAGAACAATAAAGAAAGCAAATTGGGCGATTGGATGCCGCACTCTTGATGAGGAATATCCTGCCTCCTTTTAAAAGGTTTTCGGCCTACTAGCTTCTTTTCATCGTGGACAGAACTTAGTCTCATGTATGTTTCTCCTTTGTATTAGTATTGGGTGACAAACCTAAATATTTGGTAGGCTAAGAAGCAATCCTAGAGCCAAAATTTGCACTATGTCATCAGATATCAATACAAAATTGATTGCCCACTAAGACAAATTTCAATTTCCTCCCAATTCACCTTAATGGGAGGCATCTTTTGGAAGCAAAAAGGATAAATTTAATATTAATGAGGGCCTTCTATCTGGCTGCAAAAGGAGGAGAATGTCATATGCAAACATAAGATGCAACCTCCATTGCAAGGTCCGTCCTGTGCCAATAGTCAACTGTTTTATCTTAGTCAACTTTCCTTCCTTACAGAATAGCCTGTCAAAAGCTGCCATCACTCTAAGTAGAAAGAAAAGACCTCTAAAGAAGAAATCCAAAGGATGTTCTCTTATACACAGGTAATTGTGATCACATCTGTTGGTAAGTGTTTGCGTTTCTGTTACTTTGCTCTTTGTACTCCTATATAAGAAGGGATAATAAAAAGTTTCTTCAGTTGCTTAAATTAGTGGCGGTAGATCTTAAAACATGTGCCATTAAGCTTAAATGATCTACAATCGAGACAATAAAATCTTTGACTGCTCTACTACATGCTTAAGTGATATCAACACTGGCATCTAACAAGAGATATCTCTTTGTATGAAGCAAAATGACATCATTAACATTGATCACGCTTTAAAGGATGTCATGATTCTTGCTGAATAATTTGAGTCATTAAGTGATGGATTGTTTAAGTTTTTCAGTAAGCAAGCATATTCTTAAGGTTGAGGACAATGATAACCAAGTTCATTTGGACTCCATGAAGAAGAAAGAATACCAAATTTTGCTCCTAACAGTGACAAGTAATATTATTTAGCTCTCTATTTTGCATGTCTACTCCTCCAGGATTCAAAATTTTGGAGATATTATATTTTCTCAAGATCATCTAAAGTTTCATGAGTTTTAATTCTTTGGAAGCATTGTCCAATTTTTACATTCTTTCTACTTCCAATGTCTCAAAACAAGAAGTCAAACTAAGTGGAGGAGAATGACTCGAAACAGAATATTCTATAATGTTCATGTCTTAATATTACAAGATATTTATCTAATTATAATCTTTATGTTATTTCTTTGAATGGTTGTGAGCTTACTAGGAATTGTTCAAATAAAGCTATTATTGGTTCTTGTTTAGTTAGAAATCTTATTTTGTATCCATTTTCTTATTTAAGAATTGTAGTCATCAGATCATATGGACATCTTATGAGTACACTAGTGATTCAAGATTATTTATATACTGCATATGAATAAAACTTAGTGATAGTTGAGTGCATTATAATCCTGTGGTTGTAATTGACAACCCAATCTATAGTTGTTGCTAATCCTGGATTCCGTAGATTGGATATTTGTTTCCTTTTTCCAGTGTTCTAAATCCTATTCCACTGTGCTAGATCAATTGTCAAGAGGTGGTAAAGTTCGAAAATAGCCATTTTCTCCCTAGGTGATCAGGTAACTCTTATTCAGTCATGTTTGACTAATGTTTCACTATACTAGTCCCTGTTCAACACCCCTAAGGAAGTGTTAGATAGGATTAAGAAAATTATAAGAGATTTTTTTGTCTCTGAGTTGGTGGAATGTGAGATCACTCGTAAGGTGGAAGGTTTATGGAAGGCGATCTAGGCCTTGGGAATGTTACCTCAAAGAACATTGATCTTATTGCTAAATGGTTTTGGCCCTTTGCTTGGACATCCTTAACCCGTTGCCCCACACCCCTCAAATTCGAACTTGGCATCTTTAATTACTTTTTAAAGGTAAAGGATATACTTGAGGTTAAAATCTTTGGATGGTGGTATTCAACTGAATTAACAGTAATGATTTGTTACAAACTTAGAGACCAATAGGACTTCTATCTCCTTATCAGTGTGTGATATGTTATTACGTTTAAGCACAGAAGTCATAAATTTCTTTTTTTTTTTTTTTTTCTGATGCAGCATGATTATGGAATACAATTTTTGCTAAACTTGGGGAATCCTTTGTCCCTTTTAGGACTTAAAAAGACTGGTGTGAGGCTTTGCTATTGATGCTTGCAGTTTGTGCTATTCTCTTATTTTGCAATCAAACTGGTAGTTGCTTATACATGTTTAGATAATCTTTCTTTATTATTATTATTATTGTTGTAGTTGTTATTGTTATTTATTCTTCACGGAAGATCTTTGTGTTCTTTTCTCACTAATGCTACCCTCCTAAGTTAATCATATTCTAGGAATAGCATCTCCACTGAAGTGAACTTTTAGAGTTATTCTGAAATTCTTTCTCATCTGATTGGGAGAGTTTGATGCAGGTACGATCTGATTGGGATAACATCAAGATTGATGTCATGTACAGGGCCTTGAAATGCAAGTTCTCAATTTACCCTCATCTGAATTCTTTGCTGCTCTCAACAGCTGGCTCAGTTCTTGTTGAGGCATCACCTCACGATCTCTTCTGGGGTGGAGGCCGAGAAGGAGAAGGCTTGAATTATTTAGGCCGGCTGCTAATGCAGTTACGGTCCGAGTTTCTTGGCGAGAGTGATAGTGCAATCGAGAACAACTGTATAGCCTTATGATAATTTTTCTTTTTTAAATTGTGGTTATTCTTAGATTAGAAATGAACATGATGATATAAAAGAATACAAGGTAATGCTGCACTTGTAAAATGGGTTATACAATTTTGTCTTATCAACTAAAGTTATATCAAAAGCCAAAGTAAATATGTGTAAGAAAACAGTAAAACGATGGTGATAGAAGAGGAAAATGCGATGAGATGTGGATTGACTTTGTGTTTGTCTTTTTCTTTGGTTTTCCTGGTCAAATTTCTCAACAAACAATCTTGACCGAGACACATAATGGCATTAAAATAAAGTGGGCAGGAATTAGATAGGTTGTTAAGAATGACAGAGAAAGTCCACGAGCTCCCAATGTTTTATAAAACAGCAGCAGTTTCAGAGAAAATCCTTTAAAATGAATTTTGAATAAAATACAAAAAAACTGGAATGCTTTCGAGAGCAGAATGTAGGAACGAAGCTTCTTGGAATCCATCGATCCATAACAAGTCGTAAAGAAAGACCGTTCTCTTACTAACTTGAACTCAGGATTTTTCTTTTTAAAGTGATCTAAATATCATGATATCGAGATAGAAAGTCCACGAGGTAAGTAAAATGCTGTATGGTTGATGTATAAAGCAGGAAGTGAACAAAATTTCTCTTTTCATTTGGAATTCAGAATCAGCAGCAGAAAATAAAGCTCCATATCATTACTGTAATTGTCATTTGGCAGATTTTTTGAAATAAAAAAATAAAACTCCACTTGCCAAAAAAAAAAAAAAAAAATCAGCACAAAACCACAAAGCAAACGTCAACTATCCACCTTGGTCTTTTGAATAAAGATGATAGAGGAGATGAGGTATAGAGAAAATTACACCTAACTTGACTAAATTATTCTTTAATCCAAAAGGTAAGAAGATAATATATATATATATAAATATAAATTAAATATATAATAACATTGTTGAATATAGTAAAAAAAAATACATTTAAAAATAACAAATATAAATTGATATTGAATATATTATTGTTTATTTTATTAATCTCAATAACTATGGAGTTTTAGTTTTTATTGGTTTTATTAATTATTTTAATTAAAATATATATTCAAAGAAACAATAAATCAATCCAATTCTGATCAATTTGTTACCTGAAATTAGAGAATAAAAAATTCCCATTACCCTATATCATGCAAGTTCTAAACATTATTATGAAACTGTCATAATATTTGTTAAAAGGGCATTAAAATCAAAATAGAACACAAAATAATGAGTAGTAAATATACTTGTTAGGTTATATACTTAAAATAAACCAACAAAACATGGAGAGAGAGAGAGAGAGAGAGAGAAGGATCTACCTCTAATATTAACAAAAGGGTCTTCATTGTTTTGGAGTTGCACTTGATTTGAACATGACATAATTTTTAGGTTATATTTAAGTCAAGGATTGAAACATATATATTTCGATCCATATTGAACTTTACCCATTTTGATATATTTGGTTTGTTGACATTGTACGAGATCAAATCGAATTACACTTTCTCAATTCTTTTTATATATTTTCTTTAAATTTAAATTAATTTTAATTTATAAATTTTTTTTAGTTATTAAAAATCTAAATAAAAATAAATATTAATAATATTAAATAAAATAACGCATAATTATTTTTATATTATACTTAAAATTAAAATTTCTCAAATTCTAATTTTGCAATTCATTTTTTAATCAATCACCCAAGTTTAGTTTGTACTAGACTAAAATAGAGCCAATGATACAAACACAATACTAAATATTCAGCTATAAGATGTATATTTATATATATATTTTTTAATTTGTTATAAACATGTTTTTAATTTTCTAAAACAGAAATGATTGTCACTAGGAGGAGGATGAAAATAAAGAAAGAGGTTTGAACCTTAAGAGTAAGGTGAAGAACGAAGGACTAAGGGAACACAAAAAACTGTGGATTGAATTTGAAAATGTTCCCAAAAAATAATAATAAAAAAGACTAAGCATATAATTTAATCTTTACCTACTTCGTCCTTTTGTTTAATTAAGGAAGGTGGAAAATGCAAAAACATAGTTAATAAAGTTCATAAATACAAGACAACGAGCAACTTTGTTATGACAATTCTACTAGTTACATAGTGATGAGATCCCTTAGTTTGATGATATCTCTGGTTCTGGCTAAAGCCAATTAAGATTTTTCTTACAACTTCGAAATACCTTAATAAATACATCTATTTTATTTTTTCTTAATAAAATTAGTCAAATTGATGAATGAAAGACAGAGTAACAAAGAATCTTATAGACAACATCGAAAACAACTAATTTGGTTCCTTGTATTATTATTTGCATACAAAGAATCTCAAATAACACTCAACTAAAATTTCTTATTTGATCGAATCAAATATTACGTTTATCTTTTAATCAATCTCATTAAACTTATTTGATCTTAGTAAACTGATAAAATAATGAGATCCTTTGGCACGATGTCTTTAATGGAAGAACATTTAATACGAGAACAATTAACATTAATCAACTCAACTTTGCTTACGGTTCATAATACTTCATAAATACATGAATTGATGCACAAGAGAGAAGAAGTACGCGAAAAATCTCATAGACAAGTCGAAAACAACTCAATTGATTCCCTGTATTATTATTTGCATACAAAGAATCTCAAGTAACACTCAGTTAGAAACTATTATTTGATCAAATCAAATATTACACTTATGTTTTAATTTCATTACAACTTATTTCATCATAGTAAATTAATAAAATGATGACGTACTTTAGTATGACGTACTTTAGTAGAAAAAATCTAATACGAGAACAATTAGCATTAATCAACTTTGACTTTGCTTACGATGCATAATGTAACGGCCCCAGAAATTCAAAATGAAATATGTATATTTAAAAATGTCAAATGCGGAAGCGTAATAAAAATTTGATTAACATCCCTTACACTAAAACCAAAAACGTGCTCAAAGTATAAAAGAACAAACTAACTAAAAGGGAAACTCGAAAATAAAAGCTATAAATATAACTACGGAGTCTTCAGGCGTCCCCTTCGCCGTCTTCCTATGGAACGGGCTCGGGAACAATGTCTTCCTGATCTGAAATGATTAAATAAGGAATGAGCTACACCAGCCCAGTAAAGACATCACACTATCTCACCGTTACGGAGGTAAAGGTGGGTAGAAAACACAAAAAGACCAATGGAGCATAATTTACAACAAATTCTTTTATCAATAATAAAATCCTTTATTATCCACTTACCTCGGTAAAGTTCATAAAACAACATACGAAAGCAATAACATTATTATCATCATGAAATTATATGAACTGTATAACATAATACTTATCACGCCTTTTGCATTTCAATCGTTACACAACATATTTTTCCTCATTTACCAGCCTACTAGTATCCATGGGGATCCATAGGGGTCCCGCTACCCGTGAACCCTTAACACTTGTAATCAGATTCCAGGGCCGTCCCCATACCCCGTCCGGTATGGGCGCCAAAACTATAAACCTCAATACCCCGTCCGGTATGAGGGTGAAACGGGCCGTCCCCATACCCCGTCCGGTATGGGCGCCAAAACACATAAGGTCTCCATACCCCGTCCGGTATGAGAGACTACAATCCCGGTAGGGTTCCCTACGGACCCGGTCCATCTACCATCTCCCAGGATATCTAGTCAGGCTGACCATATTATACAATTATCAATTTACATAACCTTTCATTCCCCTCTTTCCTCAGTCAGCATCATCAAATCACATACAAACAAGCAAATCAGTAATTTATGCCAAACAAGACAACATACAACATCGGGTTCTCAGTCATTCAACCCATAATCAATAAAATAGTGGTATATGCACACGAAACTATGAAATGAAAACATCAGACCTCATACTGCATTCAAAAAAACTGTAAAATAGGCCAAACAACAGCTGACCGACAAACACACCAGACTCGAGCTCCATTAGCGACCTTAAACAATTTCACACATCTATTGATTCATGAAATACCGTTTTATCATTTATGGAACTTTAATACCGTGATAGGAAATAGGGTGAGGGGTCCTTACTTGTTTTTGGGGCCTGAATACGTCTCTACAGTGCGCCTACAAGCTGTCCCTAATTTTTCCTGAATTTTTTCCGGGGAACTGAAACGCACTACTGGTACCTGCACGTGTCCCAAAAAAATCCCAAATTAGACCCGGGGCCCCTTTAAGCCAATATCGCAATTCCGGCACGGCGGCTCCGCCGTGCTCCGGCGACGGCGCCGCCGCAAGCGGCGGCGATTCACATTGGGTTGGCCGTTTTCGGCTGAATTCGACCACACTTGCATCGGACCCTGCGATAAAACAACCCTAGGGCCCTCGGGGGGCCAAAAAAATTACGAAAAATCGAAGCTTACCGGCGGCGGTGCTCTCGGGTGCGGCGGCTCTTTGGTGAGGTTTGTGTTTTGGTGATTTGGCTCCGATCAACCTGTAGAGAAAAGAATGATGATCACGGTGATATAAAAATTGTATCAAACGGAGGCCGGGAAGGGCCTCATCGGAGGCAAAAATCGAGGAGGGGCGTGGCGGCGTCGCTGAGTTTCGGCCGTGTTTGGCCGGGAGTTTGGCTCCGATTTGGCCACAGGGGAACTCAACATTGAAAAACGAGCCGGGGGTATGAAATTTACTTCGATTGGCGGTCGGAAAACTCTCCGGTGCGGCGGCGGGTGGCGGCAGCCGGCTCCTCCGGCGTCTGGTTCGTCTTCTCCGGCGCGAGCTAGGGTTTTTATGGTCAGGTGTGGGGGGTTTATTTATACCATTTTCCTTTTAATCACAGCCGTCCATCTTGATTTAATATGGGTCGTTCGATCGTGATTTAATTTGGATTAAATCTGAGCCGTCCATCGCGATTAAATCTGGGCCGTCCGTACTTGATTGAATCTGAGCCGTCCGTGCGCGTGCATCTGGGCCGTCCGTGCGCGTGCATCTGGGCCGTCCGTACGCACGCTTGATCTGGGCCGTCCGTGTGCGCGGGGATGCATCTGGGCCGTCCGATCGCGCGCACGCGGATCGCCCACGTGGCCCGTTCCCGGGTCGGCATGGCCTTGCCACGCGGCAGGTCCTAGTTGGCCAGGGCTGCTGACTGGGCCGCTGACGGGGTACAATTTTTTTAAATTACGTTTTGACCCCTGGTTTCTGAT